GTTAGGCAGAGAAGAAATAATTATTCGTTTTAGTGAAATTTTATATTATTAAGTGTATAAAATGAAGTTTATCATACTCATTCTCGTTCACTCAATTGTTTTTTTCTACACAACAATTCATAATATAAAAAAAGGGAATATGATCACTTGACTTGTCTCCAAGTTTTTGATAATATTTATTACCAAACTTATCAAGACCCACAAGCATTGCCCCTATGAAGTGAATTTTCATTTGCCTATATTAATAAGAAGAGTAAAATTCCAGTTGATGGCGGTCATTACGTAATCATAAGTTACATCTCCTTATATAAATAATAAATGGTTTGTACTTCTAAAATTTAGTTTTAGATTTTGTTAGAATTGTTGAAATCTTCACTAACCTTTACGCGAACAAGTTGTGTTGCATTCTTGAATTGGGAATTGGAATAGGACGACCTGCTTTGAAACGGTGGAAGAACCATTCTTCAACAGGATTTCAGTTCAATGGTCCATAAATGCAAACTGGCTTCAGAGAAGTATAATTTGCGCATTTTGATTCCAACAAGCTCTCTGTCTCAAGCTTTCCCTTATGTTGGCCTCAACATTTCTCCTATGATGCATGCCAAATATCAAACCCATAAGGTGTGATAACGGGCAATTACCAAAGTCACTACTCACGTATTTGAGAGAAACATAACTCTCATTAAAAATATTTTTTCATTTTTTGTCCGTTCTCAACTGAAAAAGGAAAAATGTTAAAAAAATATTCATTCACTTACCCAAACCTTAACTGGTCATTCCTGCCCCCACCCTTTATTGGAAATAGAGTGGGATGCTTAAGAGGTGGAAGTGAATAAAAGGAAGTTATTGCTGAACAGTGCTCAGCATACTTGCAACTACTCATACAAATAAGACACATAAGTTATTCAAGAATACAATCAATAATACTTAGATAAATTAAGTCGCCTTTCTCATCTAATTTGAAGAGCAACTATGGGGTGAAGAGGATAACCTATTGCATGGGAATGTTGCAAACTTGGGATATTTGACATCTAAAATGAAATAAAAGATGAGACAAGCTTTATTAATAAAGATAAATTAGATCCTATACTTTGAATATATTTCATGAATATATGGTATATAGTCATGAAATATGTGTAGTATTGTTGTTTTTTTATATCATAAATGTACGATATCGTAACAAGCAGTATAGTGGATCTTTGAATCCGAATATCGTTCCCATGAGAACTATACTTTAGGACTTAATCTAATTTTTCTAACTCTTATTTGATAAGAGCAAGTAAAGAATCACGATAGTGGTGATTATTTTTTCTAACTATTTTTAACTATTTGAAAATATCAAAATTTTGCAAACAACGGTTGATTAAATATTCAAATATGGGATAAATATCATAGCATAACAATTTCATCTATTGATCACCTTAATTCTTAATTCAAGATTCCTAACTTAATATAATGTTCGATTGAATTCTTCTATTATATTCAATTTACCACTCTTGAGTTCTTATCGAACCTATTTAACTAATTAAATTTCATATCTCCGTGTAAATCAACATTAGTTAAAAGAAACACCAGTTCTAAGAATTCATATTATGACTGCAATAATTAGTATATATGGTCTAATTTACTAACTTACCGTTATACTAATTTACCGAATTTTACTATATGGTCTAAATCTCAAACTTACTCCTCTATTCGTAAGAGACTCATATAATCATCAAATTAGTGATCAATTAATTCAATACATTAAACTCATAATAAAACTAACATATATATGAATAAATCATAGAAATGTTGAGTAGAAGAATGAATGATCACAAGTCGACTACATTGTTTGTCCTAATATGAAAATTAGTTACTCATAATATAAAATTAAATATAAAAAATTGTCTTTGAATACATCATCGAATTCTTTGAATAAATATGTTGAAAAAAATTTAAATCTTTTTTTCCCTCCTTTCTGCGTCCGTTTTCTGCGTATATATCTCCCTCTTTGTAGTCGCCTTTGTGTGTGTGTGTGTAATCTTTTAAGCAGTCGCAATCCCCTCTTTTCTCTCTTTCTTTTTTTGTGCATATGCGTTTATATCTCCCTCCTTGCGGCCTCCCTTTTCCATGTATATATATTCCCAGCAGCAACCCGTTTTCTCTTCTTTCTCTCATTTTTTCTGTCTCTTTTCTCCTTCTTTTCTCTCGGCCACCTTTTTGACTTCAAAAAAATAAAACTCCAATTGTTTTCTCCTCTTCGTGTATGCGTGTAATATAATATATAGATGAGGAAATTACACCCACACTTGGAAATAGATTTTCAATTTCACAAATCCAATAACAAGTTCAACATTTCAAAAATCAGGTTTTAATTAATAATTTAAAAATATTTCTTATTTTTATTTTTTTTATCTATATACAATAAAATGAAATTGACAACAACCAAACCCTAATCATTTCAACCACTTCTTCCCCTCCACCCTCTCTCCTCCCACCGCCCGCCACCCCAATTACATCTTCACTCTCATCATCCTCCCGTCTCTCTGCTCTACGCCGCTGCTACAGTCATGGTCGTCGACTTTTCTTCCTTTCCTCTCCTCCTTCTCTCTACAACTCTCCCTTTCTCTCATCTCCACGACTGCTGCAGAGCAACAATCTATTGATGCCGCCGACCCAGATCTTTCCATCGCCTCTCTCTGCGTAGTAGTTCGTGGCAGCGTTGACGTTGCCGTTCGTAACGCCGCCGTTCACAAACGGTAGTAGTGATTGTGGTTTTTGATGATTTTTGTGCACAGATCCGTTGTAGTTTTTGATGGTTTTGTGCACAGATCCGGCGGTTGTGGTGTTTTTGTGTGGTTTGATGCGACGGTGGTGGTAGTGTTTTTGTGTGGTAGTAGTGGTGTTTTGTGTGGGGTGTTGGTTGTTGCGACGTTGGTGTTGGTACTGGTTTGCCTGAGGTGGTGGCGGTTTTGTGGCGGGGGCGGCGACGGTAGTGGTTATTGTTGGTGGTATGTGACCAAGTATTTGATTATCTGCGACCTAAAAATTTGACAATATGTGACCTAGAAATTATTAATTTGTGACCTAAAAATTATTAATTGTGACCAATAAATTGATAAATAGTGACCTAAATAAGTACTGTGACTTATAAATTTTGTGATCTGTGACCGGTGAACAAATTGTGACTTTTTAATTTTTAAATTGTGACCTAAAAATTTTCGCCGGAGTCGGAATCGTCGCAGGAATCGGAGCAGTCGTCGGAACGGTCGCCGGAGATGAGTTGTGACCGGAACGGTAGCCAGAATAGTCTCCGGAGCGGTAGAGGTGGTGGAGGTGAGGTGGGGTCGGGTAATAATATTATAATATAATTAAATATTTAATAATAAATTGATTTAATAATTCATTAATTCATATATAAAAAATTAAAAAACCTGATTTGTGAAATTTGAAACTTGTTATTGTATTTTTGAAAATGTGTAAAGTACATACCTTAGAAATGTATTGTTCCTTTTAAAGAATGTGTGTTATTATATTAGAATTAAATATTTAATAATAAATTGATTTAATAATTAATTATTTCATAAATAAAAAATTTTAAATCCTGATTTGTGAAATTTGAAACTTATTTTTGTATTTTTGAAAATGTGTAAAGTAAATACCTTAGAAATGTATTGTTCCCTATTACCTATATATATCATTTTCAATTTTGGGCCTCTAATTCAAAGCCATTAATGCTATATTATCCTTCAAGTCCTTAGTCTTTCCAAAGTATGAAATTTGATCTTCAAATTTTGCATCCAATGGCAATTTAGTCCCCATACTTTTGATTTTGCCATTTTTTCGCTATTTTGCATTCTTTTCTCCAATTATTCGTCAAACATAAAGTTTTATTTACAAAATGTAATATAACATAAATTAAGTAGAATTTTATCCAAATGACAATAAAATATCATCATTTAGAACATCAAATAAGTGCAGAAACTACACTTATCAAGTATTAGAAAACTTTAATCTACCTCTGATGTATCCCTTCAACTTTAATGCTTTCACACTTCTCATTTGTTGCTTTCAAAACTGGCTTCAAGTCTTCTATTTGAGTTTTATAGTTTTCAATCTCAGCCCCGTTTGATCTACATTATTATCTCATTAAAATGAAAAATATGATTGTTATCCATTATATCAACATTTAAATTCAAATTTTCTATCTCTTATGTGGGGCACCAATAACGGCTATATATTTCATTCTCATTCTACAATAATTTGGCTCAAATAGGGCCTCAATGTGAATTGATAATAGCTATTATTTTGTCTCTCACCTCTAAAGAAACTTCATACAAAGCTGATGCTAAACTTTTTATTACTTTCTTGCTATTCTCTTCTCTTCTTTATCCCTAGAATTTTCCAAGTCATTTATGAGCTTATGTTTTTCTTCCAATAAAGTTTGCACACTGTCAGTTACAAGCTTCTCATTGTTTGAAGCCTAAATTCTCTCTTCTTTAACAGTTTCAAGCTCAAACAAATGATATTCAACTTTTTTTACCGTTTGAGAAGCTTATTTCTTGGCTAGTTCAAGGTTGCATTCCGATTCCTCAAGATCCTACTCCTGCTTTCTAATTGTGATTTCTAGCAATCCCACTTTCTCTTTGAGGGATGTGATCTTAGATTCTGCATCATGCAATGAATCAATGCTTTACTTTCAAGTTATTTTGTGATAGATTCCATAGATTTTAAAGCAGATCTCTCTAATTTCTTTGCTTCCTCCGCCTGAACTTCTAACTCATGAGCCCTCTTCTGCAACTCCTCCACTAAATTATATGCATAAGATTCAGCAATTTATGCAGCCTCCAAATCGATATTAAGTTTCTCTAAGGTAGCCTTTTTCTCTGGCAATTTCTCCTCATTAGTATTTGCCCTTTCAAGTTCTTGTCTCGAAGAATCAATCTCCCATTTCAGTACTTCCACCAATTTGTTGTTCTCATTAGTTTCCGTTTAGACTCACGCATCAAGCATGGATTTCAATTGAACCAGATCGCAGAAACAATCTCCACTTTCTCTACATGAATCTCTATATTTTTCGACATGTCCTTAGCATGGTTGAGTGCCTGGTTTTTTGCATTAGCAGCCATAGCCAACTCTTGCTTCACCTTATCAAGTCTCTGATTGGCAGATAGGAGAGCTGCCGCATCCAATGCATGTTGGTTTCTCACCGTTTCAATGTATCTCTGCCATTCATCATCCTTTTTTGGGTTGCTTCAATGCACGTTGCAACTATCGCAGAATCCAAACACAGTGATAAACAACGCCGGTCAAACCAATAGTGAAACGAAAAATGTTGTTTTATCTTAAAACCAGTCCAAAAAAATCGAGATCCACTTGAGTACTGTTACGAAATTATTTTTGTCTTCAACCCTACCCCATCAATTACTGATACTGATTCCGCAGACACAATGACTGATGTAAATTCTTTAGCTATGAGCTGTCATGATTCATCAAGTAAAATAATCGACAACACCATGAAACAAACAAAACAAGAAAAAGCAAGATGCCTGCATCTTCTAAAAAAAAAACCTCTCTTCCAAGCATCAGTTGAAAATGTCGAAACGAAATTGCTCAAGAAAAAAAAAAGAATTCTTAATCTCCAGATGACACAGGCAATGTTCCAACTTTGCGAAAACAACATGAATCATGTACTTGTACCATAGGCAGTTTTATAGTTTTTGAAATAGAAAATATCCTCAAATCAAACTGCAGCACGTACCAATGTTTTTGTTTTTCTTACAAATCGATAGGATGCTACAAATATTTTAAAACTAATTTCCAATTACAATTGCTTGTATATTGTGCTAATCATATATGAAACTTTTTCCCTATGCTATTACATAATGTTCAATTATTCATTGTTTAATATAGCTTTTATTTGTATTTTCTACGTAATTAAACATGTAATGCTTTAAATAATTTTACTATTTTATTTTATACATTTTCTATGTTCAATATATATTACATTCTCTCACAAAATTAACATAACAATTTACGTACTAAATAACGACCAATAACGACCACCACCTACGTTAATATAACACGTGACCATTTGCAAGTTAAATACGCGGACAATGGCACATATATTTTACAATGTATATGAACTCGACAACTTGTTTTCCGTCCATTCATGATTTAAGATGTGTACTATTTTTGTGTAAGTACAAAAAATAGACTTCAAAAATATTTCAAATATACTACAAAAAGTAGAGTTGAAACAATTATTTGAAATTGATCCCTTTCAAAACAGAAATTAATTTGTAAATAAATACTGACTTTTCTAATCTATATCAATGTTTTTAAATTATTAAATTACAAAGAAGTAAAATTATATTTCGTTTGAATAAAATGTAAACAATTGTTATCACCTAAATTTAATTATATAAAATAATAAAATATTAATTTTTTTGCAAAACATAAAAAATAAATGAGCAATCGGAGTAATACTTTGCATGAGTATAGTTGAAAAATATTTCGAATATAATAAAAAAACATGTAGACTTGAAAAAATTACGATCACTTCCAAAACGGAAATTAATTTTTAAATAAATATGAGCATTTATAATACGTATCAATATTGTTGAATTTTTAAATTAGAAAGAAGTAAAATTGTGAGTTCAACAAATTATCTAAAATGAATCTATCTCAAACCGAAAATTAATTTGTAAATAAATACAAGTTTTCCTAATATTTATCAATGTTTTTGACTTATTATATTAAATTAGAAAGAAGTGAAATTATATTTTCTTTAAATAAAATGTAAACAAATGTTAACACCTAAATTTAATTAAATAGAATTACAAAATATTAATTTTTTTTTGCAAAAATAAAAAATTTAAACATAGTACAGAGTAATTCCGCACATAAATGAGTAACCTCCGCACAGTGCCGAGTGCTCTACACAAAGTGCGGAGTAAATAGTAATGAAAAATTTTGCCTTCTATATTCATTTCATTGATGCAAAAAGAGTTAAAAGTCAGTTAACATTCCCTTTACACGTTTTACCCACAAGTTCATTCAGATGCATTAGGCCAGATCTGAATCTCTTCAATTCTCAACTTCTGTAAATAAAGCTTCACAGAACTACATGCAATTCTCTTGTGTGATAAGCAATGGTGCTATGATGTGGTTGTGTCAGAGCATGCTTCATTGCCTTCAATTACAAATTTTTTTATTGAAAAGAACCCACTGTGAAATATTGAAGTAAGGTTGAGAAGCTGCTATTTTTTGTCATAGAAGATTGTAATTTCCACTGCAAGAAAATTAATAACTTCCAAAAAATTATAATATTACTGTAATTAGACACGCTAACGTTACCTAAATAATAACACAATGCACGGGCATAAAACTAGTACCGTTAAAGATGTGGTGAGATTACTGTTTTGCATTTTTCTTTTTTTGACAGATACTGTTTTGCATTTGTTAATATTGAGTTAAACTACTTGTACATTTTGTATAACTAGTTTAACAATTCATGAGGAGTAAAATCCTGACTATTGATTTGAACAATAAAGCTATTTGTACAAAGTTGAGTTACAAAGTGTGTTGGCAAAATTTAGCCCGTTGATTTCAAATTATTTAAAAATCTGTTTTTAAAATGATTGGTGTAGATGTTATTTTGTCAACCAACTCTGTAACACAACTTTGTACATGTAGTATTTGATTTCAAATGATTTAAAAATCTTTTTTTAAAATGATTGCTACAGATGTTATTTTGTCAACCAACTTTGTAACCAAACTTTGTACATGTAGCATAACTGAATTAAAGGACGGATACGATCACCTTCTTGATGATTACGTTGTTCATATCCTCTATAATAGGAACTTCAAGTGCATTTCTACTCCGTGTTTCATCTTGTCATTGGCCACCTTGCTCTATTCATTTATTTTGCTCACCGGATTGGTCTCCCAAAGAAGATGATTTATTAGAACATGAAAAAAAATACATGTAATGAACTCTTACTCGCCATATTATAATTGACTGCAAATCAAAATTCACCGTAGTATAAACATACATTACATGCCACTCGAAGCACACAGTTCCACGTAATAAGATCATAAGGAAAGTGAGCCTGGCAGAGCAAGGGGCAGATATAAACATCACAAACTATGATCACAGAGTGAAAAAAACCATCTATACAGTTGATTAGTTTCAACAAAATGCAATAATTTACAGATGACATCTTGAAGTAGAAACATGTTGGGTAAAGCTTGAATCTTTCTGAGCAATAACAACTCACTGTATTGCAAGTGCAAAAGATTACAGCACACGAGCATCTACAGGAACTCCATAAGCCTCAAATCTTAGTTCTATATTTATTCATAAGCATCCAAACAAGCAAGTGTATATACATATGTTTAGTTTAAAATAAACAAATGCCCTTAGATCGCAAAGTTTTCCCCAAATCACAGGCAGCTTAATACTTCTAAAAGAGATTCATTAAAGGCCTTTTACCCTAAAGTTCCCTTTATGCATCATAACAATAATGCGAGCGAGGAAGATCCGATGATGGAAGCAGCGGCAATGACAGAGCTAGATATTCCAGTGATGCATAAAAGGTAAATTATGAGTCAAAAAGCCATCGAGTAAACACAATAAGTCAAGTTTATTCCGTCGCCATCTAAAAATCCATTTGAATATATGATCAAACCCAGAACAAACATGACCACCCAGTCATTGTCACCAAGAGTTGATGCACAGAACCAGTTCATCGACTTCATCATTCATATCTTTAAGTCCACATAGATCATATTTGAACTCTAGGAGTATTGTTGAAACAGCAGTGATTATGAATATCTTATTCAGTAAAACGATTTCATTACAACTTCATACACATACTCAGGCTTATAAAAGATCAAACCAGTACAAGACAACACCAGCAGCCAAAACAAAACTAGTAGATCAAGCCAAACACAACAACACATCACCAGTAATGTCATGCAAGGAAAATTACGAGGATGATACATATCATATCAGCTAGTTATTACTTCTGTTCCTCTTTCTCAATAGCAGCATTTGCAGCAGCAACATCCTCTTCCAAGAACAAATCCCAGTGTCCATCCCACTTGATAAAGAACTCAGTATCCTCAAAATATTTCGCTCTGTGCACGTCTCCAGCCTGTGTAAACAGGTAATCCCCCACCCCCAATTCATATTTATCTCCTTTCGTCAAGTTCCACACACATTTACTCCCACTTATAACCACCAAATCATATCCAAAGGTATGATGATGGGCCGGCTCCACGCTGCCAGCCTTAAACCTCACTATAGCCGATGTAGGCGTCTCCCTCAAAATTTTCATGGACGCACCAGGCATTATATCCACAGGCGAAAACTCCTTTTGATCCCGGCTTTTCGCCAGGGAGCAAATAAAACACGGAGAATCAGCAATACCATCAGTTTTGTTCTCGATTTGAGTTTTCCCAATTCCAGACATTTCTTTGACAGAAGTGTCCAAAAAGGACTGGATATCTTCCGGCCAGGGATTGGAACCGGAAGCGGGGCACGGGGCCTTAAAGGGGGTGTTGAGGAAAGTGTTCAGAATATCTAAAGCAACTTCAGGGGCAGTAGACATACCAGAGACAGCAAGAACATTACAATTATTGATGGACCGGGCATTGAGGGCATCATCTGGGGTGAGGCAGGTGGCGGCGTATACTCCTGGGAACTTGTTAGCAAAGATGCCAACACCCACGCCAGTGCCACAAGCCACTAGGCCACGGATCTCGACGGAATCATCGGTGTTTGCCTGGCTGACACGGCGGCCGATTTCTTCGCCGACGGAGTAGTACTTATCAGTTCCGAGGTCTTCCACTTCGATGTTGAGAGAGCCGAGGTGGGTTAAGAGTGTGTCTTTCAAGTTGCAGCCGAAGGCGTCGGCTCCGGCTATAATTTTGACGCGGCGGGGAATTGTGGCGATCGCCTCTTGCTGTGCCATGAGAACTGATGAATTATCAATCAAAATGGGTGCCCGACAAAAAGGATCTGATCGAAAGATTTTTGGGTAGCGCAGATGGATAAGATCACTTCAATACTCCCAAAATATTTTAAAAAGTAATTACCCATCAACTACTCTTCATTTATCCACATAAACAAAAAATCCACGACGTGACGTTAACGATGTCTACTTGGACGGATGAAATTGGTACGAAATTTGAATGGGTAATCTATTTCAAATATGGGCGAACAGTTAGCAACTTTTTAAAATTTAGATGAACAAGTAACAACATTGCATTGATTTAATTAACTCGATTTTAAAAGGATTTAAAGTCGATATTGAAAACGTTTTATTTCAGTTCCAAATTTAATAAAATTGATTAATTTCATGAATTATAGCTACTCTGTGAATCAATCAAATTTTGTTCATCGATATCGAACTCCATTCAATTTATTTTGGTCATTCCGATATTATTACTATCATTATTCCCCTGTTTCAAGACGAAAAATTGATCAGCCAAAAATTTCACTGGGTAAGCCTGCAATTTTTGTTCTAAACCAACCCAGAGAAAGCGGGATTTGCTGTTGCATATTAAATTGTATCGAGGAAATCTTGAAATAGATGAATAACGATAGTGATAATATTGGAATGATCAGAAATAAATTAAATAGTTGATTAAATTCGCGAAATCAATCAATTTTATTAAATTTGGAACTTAAATAAAACGTCTTCAATTGGACTCTAAGCCATTCTAAAATTGAGTTAATTAAATCAATTTTCATTAAACTTTATCTTAGCTACTAGCTCATCAAAATTTAAAAAAATTACTCAGTACTCAACCATTAAAAGAAATTATCCACCCATCACTTATACTAATTTCATCCATCCACGTAGACTATGTCAAATTTCACTTATACTAATTTCATCCATCACACCCAAATTCTAACATTATGATTTTTCACCGTTGAGAATCAGGAGAAAGTCTGGATTTTTGGCTTTTTTCTTAGGTTTTTCTTCTTTTTTTTTTTTTTGTAAAATGACTGTCGTTCCACCAACTTCTTTCAAAAACAAATACAGCCGTTTGTGCTTCATTTACGCCATGTTCTCTTTATCGTTTTTTAGCCTTTTTTGTTTTTAACTTTTCAAAATATCGAAAACGCGTTCTCTATCTTATTTTCGAAAATGCGTTTTCCAAAAAAAAAAAGACAACAACAACAACAACTGAAACTCAAAACAAGGAAAACATCGTTTTGTAAAATGCCTCAATAAAACGACCCAATTTCACAAAAAACGCGAAACAAAACCCACAACTCTCTCCCTCTCTCTCTCTCTCACTCTCCCTGTAAATCGAATTCCTCTCACAAACCCACCACCAAAAATCGACTGCAGATCGCATTGAACGAGGACGACGGGTTCTATGCGGGATCTTCAAAGTAAGGGCTGTTTGGTCTAGTTTAGCCTAATCGAATGGGTGTCACGACGGGCAGTTTGAATCAAGATTTCATATCTTCAAATCAAGGTTTTGATTCTTTGCTCATCAAAAAGCATTTTCAGTTATTTGCTTGCTATTTCATTTCTGAGTTGTTGGGTCTGATTTCCTATCTGTTTTTGTAATTGATTGCTGTGAAAATTGAGGCGGGTTGGATAATAGTTGGGGCAGTTAATTCGCAGGGAGAAGGGTAGATAGTGGTAGAGGTGGAATTGCATGTTGAATTCGTAGGGGGAAGGGTAGCTGGTGGTGGAGGTGGAATTGATAGAACGGTTTCTGAAAGTGAGGAAATTGAGGAATTGGTAGATCCTGATTAGGAATGGTTTCAGATCCTGATTATCCTGATTATTTGATATAAATTTGCAAATTTAAACTGTGCTATATCAATTTCCTTTAAATCTCGAGTTGCCAAGTATACCTTCTGGTCCAATAAATCCTCTATGCATCTGCCACTGGAATTGCAATTTCTCACTAGTAAAGCTGCACTATTAATGACTGCACTTTCAGTTTTTCCATTTTATTTATCAGTAGGTGTTTCCATCCTGTTACATAATTGGAGATAATGTTGTGGTTCAAGCTTTTCAAATAGCTATCGTTCGTTGAAACGACTTATGAACCGGACAGCCCTTTGTTCCCATCTCCCCTGTCATTCTTCCCTCATTTCAAATTTTGAGCAACTCCATTACCTTGCAAATGGAAAGTTTTTCTGCCATCATTTCTTTTGCCTTTTCGCTTTTACAGTAAAGAATAAGAAATATAGAATTGTTTGATATAGATGTCCAATGAATATATAGTATAAGGAGACTGAATTTGTAGATGTGCATTGAAGAGATAGCATGACACTAGATTCAGTCCCTGAGACAAATAAGGATTAAGCTGAATGTATCACTCCATACCTGATACTTTCACACTTTCAACTGCTTTTATTTCTTTGACCTTTTATGGTATCTCACAAGGAGCCAGAATATGAGTACTATTGGGACTATTTAAAAGAGATGTGGTTATACTTGCAGTTTCATGTTCTTAAAATTTACTTTCATGTCCTAATCTATGTACTTATTTCTATTGCTTACAATAGCTGGAGCTGATGCAATGACGGAAAAATAATTCATCCCTTTCATATTTAAGTAAAGATTATGAACCTTTTATTCAATTACAGTGTAGTGCACTTAGAATAAATGTATCCTTAAAATGTAGACATAGGTTTTGGCCAAGCCTAACTACTTAAGAGTTAATTTTGGTTGCAGCACCACTTTAATTTGAATCTTTTAGATCCGTTTTTTTTTTTTCATAAATTACCAATACATTTTATATGTGATAATTTTATTTATGTTGAATATAGAATATGGGTGATCACAGAGTTAGGAATAAGGAACCAATGTCATGGTCGGATGAGAATGAAATTACATTTATCGAAATTCTTTACGAGAGAGTGAAATCAAACGCATTGCAATGTTCTACGTTCACAAGAGACGAACGGGGCAAAATCAATGAAACAATGGTTGCTTCAACGAAAGTGGATTACGGGATAGATAGATTAAAGGGAAAGTGGAACCGCTTACGTAAGATTTACTGTATGTTCTCTGAACCTTTGGCA